AATTTGGTTAGGTTTTTGGGACAAATATTTGAATCTAGGACCATCAATTAGTTTTAATACCATTTACAAAAATTAAACTTTGATATCTAATTTTCTACTTTGATATCGGTATTTATACAAATAATTTAATTTTTAACTTAAGGTTGTTCTTCTCTTATTACTTGCATTTTATTTTTAATTGGAAATATGTATCTTGCTTACATTTATTTTTTTTATTCGAGATGTATACAAACTCATTGATAACATGCAAACAATAAATATACAAGACTAACTTACATGACGAAGACTTTCTAACTATATAGAATTATAAAGTGATAGTAGTGAATGTACATGAAATAATTTTTCAGTACATCAAAACAAGACTAGGCCCTTGTTTGAGCTTCATTCTTTCCAGAAAAATACATTCTTAAACAGTATTTTGATATCATTTCAACCACACGATCTTCAATAAAATAATGTTACACGTAAATTCAAAACTTTTTCTTATTTTTTAACCACACATTTCACATCAATACATTATTCAAAAATTCATTTTCTCCACAAAAATGGGGCTCAAACAAGGGCTAAATTTGTCAAAAAGGATAAAATTGAATATATCGTACACATAAAATATTTCGACTAATAACTGGATGTAAAATGTCATTATGCCTAACATAAATCAAGCAATGGATCACTTATATAGTTCATTATCCAAATCAAACCAAGATTGAACCAAAGATCATTAATTAAGAGAGGAAATTCACAAGGTGGATGAAATAATGTCTAATTAAAGTGAAGCATACAAAATAATACTTATTAAACTATGTCTTAAACTTTCAAAAGAGATACGATTATTTATTTAACTTAGCTTCTAACTTGGCTTGTTTGTTTATTCGGGAAAAAAGAGTTGTAGTAAACAGTTTTATATGCTCGTAGGGTACGTCCACCCACTCAAATGACGACACGCGTGATCATTTGTATCATATTTAATTTTTGACTTACTCGTGTTTCTTGCATTTTTTCAAACCATCCACTCAACTAATAACACGTGTCCATTATGTCGAGTTTAAATTTTATTCTATTTTCCTCTATTAGTTTTGGTCAAGTTTAGTTTTTTATTCTTATTTTATTTTTTATTTTGAAAATTCTTATTTCTTTTTCATAATCTCTCCACTTTATCTTAAAATTTATTATTCTCTTACTTGATCATTGTCTATTATGATTCTCATAAAGTTATTAGCTCTTGTTTGAGCCTCATTTTTTCTAAAAAAGACATTTTTAAACAGTGTTTTGATATCATTTCAACTACACATTCTTTAATAAAATAATATTACACCTAAATCTAAAATTTTTACTTATTTTTTAACCATACATTTCCCATCAATACACTATTCAAAAATTCATTTCCTCCCTCAAAATGAGGCTCAAACAAATCTAAACAAATGAAGGAGGGTCTAACTCCCTAGTCCATGTGAAATTTTGTTCGACTCTTTCAACAACTCTCTGAAGAGAAGTGTCACATCATCACTACTTTTATGAAGATCAAATCTTTTCTTTTCACCATATCAAGGAATCGTGGACACAACTACTTATTACTCCGGTTTGGCCTCTATTATTTGATATTATAAATTTTGAAATAGTGTTTTTTTAATATTATTTTATTAAATAAATGTACGATTAAAAAGAAGAGATAGAAAGATATATTACAAATTTAATGAGGCTCAAATAGAAGTTTAAGATCATCTATAAAGAAGATGCTACTAGTACAGTAAAAGTTACTTGGCCCTATACAAACAGAATTCTTCCAATCTCTAATCCATTACGTTAATCGTTACATTGAATGAACAACATTTCCTTCTATTTTAAATCTAGTATATTAATTTACTTCAATATTATTTAGTGCCTATTTGTTACCCTATAAAATTTTAAATTGTTTGCTATAGTATCATTTTCTACTACACAGTTACATAATAAAATATTCTATACAAAATCAATAAAATCTCCTTACTTTTTAATCACATATTCTACAAAAAAATAATAATAAATAAATAAATAAATAAACTACTCAAAACTCTTTAATTTTTCCAAATAATGGGTGACAAACATAAACTTAATTACAAATCCTATTATTATGTAAAATTAATAAATTAAATATTTTATTTAATTAACTTAAATATTTGCTCCCGTGGAAAATCATTACACTACCATAATTTAAAAAAATACATTTAACATCACAATATAAAAAAATTAATATAGAAAAGAATTAACAAAATAAATCATTAAGCAATCAAAGATTATAATACAAATGGTATAAACTGAAGGTCAAAATAAAAAATAAAAAAAATGGGGGAAATTGGCCATTTAACCTAACTAGACAATATATTTGTTTAAATGACCTTTGATCAATAACAAAAACAAATAAAAAAAATCATAAATATTTTAGTTGGCAAAATGACAAAATTCTCCTTTAGCTATTAATTTAATATCCTCCAATTTTTTCTCATTTCATCCGGTCATTTCTCCTCCAAATTCACTTTAAAACCCTAATTTCTATTTTTTTTTTTAAATAACATCTTCTTTCCCTTCTCATCTTCTTCAATTTTGGGTCCTTAAAAATACGATCACCTATTTTCTTTCCTTCAATCACCATTCTTGCTATTCTAAAATTATGTTCTTTGTTATATTCTTCATTTATTTTGATATCTTTTGAATATTTGAACAAGGGTTTGATTAGCATATCATTTATATTGAAAAAATCACATTTACATTTGAAAAAAGAAGAAAAATGCTCTTAAAAATCGCATCTATGTTGTATTATTGTTATTAAATATAATATTAAATATTATTTAGTTGGTATTATTCTTGTATTTATTATACTTTTTGTGTTATCTGCAATTATTGAATGTAATAGCACTCTAATTGCTATCTGAAATATAGAATACCACCCCAATCGTTATCTATAAAGTAAAACGACACTAAAGTTGTTATTGCTATAGTTTGATTTTTTTTCAATGAAATCATATCTGATGATGGACTCACTAACATATATAACACAAAAATATTGATTAGTTACAAAGAACGATTGAAATGGCGTGACTTTTATATTATTGAGATGGTAAAAGCACAAATCATCACAGTCATATGTATCAATTAAGTTAACATATATATCAACTTTTGTATGTATCATATACATATTACAACATAAATAATTTCCACTTATTATTTTTCAGGGAACAAATGGGTTGTGATTGCTTATGAATTATTTGTACATGTAATAGTACAAGTGTCATTTTCATATCCTGTGTTGTTTTGAAATTTTCGCCTATATCCATTTTTTCAAGAAAACAACATCTAATAGTGGACTATCTAACATATGTATCATAAAAAGTTTGACAATGTCATAAATAATGTAAATAAATTTCACTATTCATTCTCGGGGCACATATAGGACGTTGTTGCTTATGAGTTTTTTACACATATAGCCCTTGTTTGAGCCCCATTTTTAAAAAATTTTTTTTTTTTATCAAAATGCATTATTGAACAGTAATATCATCACATTTTAACCACACGTCCTTCAATAAAATAATGTTACACGTAAGCTCAATTTTTTTTCTTATTTGTTAACTATACATTTTTCATCATAAACCTATTACAAAATTAATTTTTTGAAACAGCACTTGTACTATTCTGTTAATTTTTTCTACATTTTTGTTAATGACTTTTAAGTTAAATGGTTGCGTTTCAATTATGCATTTCTTTTTGTTTTGTTGTTATTCCGTGATAATGATGCATGTTACGTTATTGGAAACATAAGCATCCATGAAAACAACATAAGTGGTATTATTGAACTTATAAGAGAGATGAGAATGATGCAAGTCTTGTTTTTTGGTCACAAACTTTCATGAGAACGGAACATACGTCATTATTGAAATTAAAATGATCATTCTCTCATTCTATCTATAAATATAAGTTGATAAATATGCTCATTAATTGTCAATCTAACCACCCAATGATGACCCAACTGTCGTTATGATTGTAAATCTACTTGTTCATGAGAATGACACTTGTACCGTTACTAAGATGACAACGTCTACAAAAATTTTACAACTATCATTATTCTTGTAAATATACCTGTTTATGAGAGTGACACTTGTATCGTTAATAAGATGAAAATATTTATGCGAATGGCATAATTGTCATTATATTTGATTTATAAGTGTCCAAGAGAATGGCACAAGTGCCGTTTACAATATTTAAAAGATCCCTAAGAACGACATCAGTGCTGTTACCGAGATGAAAAGTTCTAAAAGAACAACACAAGTGACATTCTCCAAATATAAACTTTTATTATTACTGTGAGAACGACACAACTTAGGGTTTCTAATTCTAAAGGTCGTTGCGTTGGAAACAAACGGAAATAAACGAGAAATCAACAGAACTCAAGTTTCATTATGGATAATAAAACAGCACTTACGCCATTCTGTCTATCATTACGAGTTTAAGCGGCCATGACCTGTCCCTGCCTCAAGAAATAATAGTTAAACTCATTTAAGTTGCGTGGTGGACATGACAATTAAAAAAATTGAGAGATGTGCTCATTACTTATATTTTGTTGAAAATAAAAAAGCCACTTGTACTTTCAACAACTTTATATCAAATAATTTTATATCATTTCAATCATTTTTTGCTATGTGATATATTTTTCTTGCGTACTTTATGGATCCAATGTTTGAGGATGAAAAGTTATTGAGAACGAGACTTGTACCATGGTGAGATGAAAGGTTCCAAGAGAACGGCATAAGTGTCGTTTAGAGGATGAAAAGGTCATTGAGAATGTCACTTGCATTGTTATTGAGATGAAAAAGTTTTAAAAGAACGATACAAATGCCATTATCGAAATATAATTCTCCATGAGAACGGCACTTGTGCCGCTACCCTAAAGAAAACGACACTTGTGATCCATGTCTTGAAAGTTTAGTAATATGGCCTAAATAAATGCACTTATCAATCGTAATATGAGATAATACAAATTCAGCTCAAGGCATTGGAACACAATCAAATATAAATCGTCCAAAGTCATCAACTAACTATTTTTGGAGCACGGGAATTAAATCCGTACATGGATAGGCCACACAACCAGATACTACAGAAAATGAAAATATACAAATCATCCTCAGCAGTTAATCAAACCGAAAGATATTTCACATACACTAAAAGGACAACAGATACATGACAAGGAGAGTTGGTCCTTGCAGCACTTTGGAAGTGCCAATGAAGTTAAAAAAACAAACACTTCAAGCTTTTTTAAAGATACTAATGGGGCACAAGTGAACGTTAAAGAAATAATAAACTTGAATAAAAACTACCTCTCCCCATTATAATATTCTCCGTTTGAGTTGTATCTGGACTGTTGAAATTACCCATCTTTCCTGCTCAAACCATCAATTGTCACAAGAAAAGAATAAAAAAAATATCTTATTTTGTGTAACAGATAAAAAAAGGAAAAGTGGAATTCTACTTTCTCTTTCTTCGATCAGCTGCAATGCTTCTTATGTCATTTCTAGCAAGAGCAGATCCAGGGGGCATTGCATACTGCATCGGAGAAGGAACTTGACCAGCAGAAGGGGAAGGAACAGGAGGAGCAGCAATGGTTGGAGGTGGCAAATGGGGGGGAACAGATGTTGGGGGTGCAACAGTAGGTTCAGGAAGTGGCTTTGGTAATATATGCTTCAACCGGTTGTTCCGATAATTCTTCCAGAAATAAAATTGCTGCCTATGTGCCAGTTCCTAAAAGATTCGGAGCATATATATTAGATTAAATCCTGATTGAGAGTGGGTTACAAGATAATTTGTGTAAATAAAGGCAAAACTGCATATCTAAGAGCATTGAGAGATTACAAGAGTTAAGTGACTATTATTGGTAAGATATCAACAAGATAATACCCACTAGAAGAACTGATATATAGTTTTTTTAACACGATTTTTTTATATTTTCCCTGGTATAATACAGAGCTCTCTTTAGTCACAGGAAAAGGACATGGACAATGTAATCCAAGTAATAGTGTCATCAAGAATTCTAAATCATGCTTTAATGGATAAGAACTAACAGAGCAACAAAATAAAAATTGTAAGAGGAACCATAATATGAAGGCCTGTAAAATTTGACCTTGCTTCCAGGATGCGCCATTGCATTCCGAAAGTTAGGATTTTGGAGAAGCTCAAGGAAGAAGAGGCAATGTGGATACCTGTAAATATCCCCAAAGATGAGTTCTATAAAGCTCAGTGGTAAGACCCATGAGAAACTATCATAGAAGGCAATCAAACTATTTGGTATCTTGTTACCCAAAGAAAAAGACTTCTTCAACAAGAGAAATACAAAAAAGAATTAACTCATATTGCTAATTTGAACGGGGGGAAACATTATGCTTACATTATGTACTTTATATACTCGGGTCTTTGCCAATATTGAAGGTATTTCAGGTACCCGATAAAAGCTTCATCTTCAAAATACCGATTCTGAGCCAAATCTGCACCAAGAATTCAAAGGGCACACATTATGACAAGAAATAATAATTACAAGAAATGAATGCCATACATTAACAGCACCAACAAAAATCATAGAATCACTACTTTTCTGTTCCTAAAACACTAGATTATAAACCCTTTTTAAACTATATCCCCTATCCATTTAAGTAATAAATTATCAACAATTATAAAAATACATGAACATTGAACTACTTTTGGTGCCCAAGAATTTTATAACAAAATCAGAATTTAGCGTTCACAGTAACATTAAAGACAATTAAGAAAAGCTACTAATGAAAGTACTCCCTATAATACTTCTCAATATGCAAGGTAACATACGTCTACATTAGAGGAAGCAAAATCAAGAGAAATCTTGAATGAAGGGCATCTATATTTTCTTCAAAAAGGTTTCTGCAAAATACACTTACAGTGAATGTAGGTGGGATTAGCAAGGCACTGAACGAATTCGAGTTCCAGCAAGAAGCGTTGGCGGCCATCATCTGGATCCTTGTATATGTTCTTTGGTCTGTAAATAGATTTAAATAAAAGAAAGTAAAATTAATTCCTACTCAAAACCACCCAGAAAAAAATTAGAAAAAAAAAATTAAAAAAAGAGAGAAAAATTAGAATTTTATGAGAGCAGAAGATGCTTACGAGGGCAAATTGGGTTGTTCATTGGAAGAGTCTCGATTTGAACCCATGGCTTAATTAACAGATAGATAATCAACTAACAAAACCCTAATTGTTTTTCTTCTTCAGCTTCAGATGCAGAGAGCAACTGACTCGAAAGGAAATAACAGATAAATAATCAATTAAATACTTTTGTTTTAATTATTGACAAATGAATAAGATTATTGAACCAACTCACGATATGGACTCTGTGAGGGAATCGAGAGAGAATCCATGGAATCGCACACGCACAAACCAGCAAATTAAGAACTCCATATATATATATTATTTTTTCAAATTTTATTTTTAATCACACATTCTCCCATAAAATAAATTTATAATTATGTTCAAAAAATTTCTTGATTTTTTTACCATACATTTAAAAAAAAATTAAAATTAAAAAGAATGAGTGTTCAATGTTCAATTTGACAGCCCATTCATAAGAGCTATCCACTTGTGTGATGTGTGAAGGATGTCAAAAATAATGTAAAAAGAATTGTATTTGTAGCATAATTGATTAAACACATTTTCTCTCGAAAACGAGGTCAAACAAGTGGCTAAATGGTTATCCTTTTCTATCTTCCATACGTGCTATTCTTGTATTTGGTTCAAATAAAAAGTTAAATAGAAGTTTAGGTCGTTAATTAATTCTAATATCCATGAAACCCACACTTTTTAACCACACATTCTATTAACTTTTATCAAAATTTACTAAAAATCTTATTTTTATATAAAGTAAAAGGGGCATAAATTACTTATTTTGATTTTGAAATAATATAATATTATTCATCCAAATCTTACATACTTATAAATAAACTTTTATATTAACCATCAAGAGCACGTTTATGTTAAGTCACATTTTGATGGAGATTAAAATCAATTTTTTAGTAAATTTTTATAAAAATTAATGAAATATATGGTTAAAAAATTGTGATATATACGACTTGTTTAAGCCACATTATTTAAAAAAAAAAATACATCGTTCAACAGTGATTTAACATAATTTCAATCACACATTCTTTAATAAAATAAAATTACACGCAAATATAGAATTTTTCCTTATTTTTCTATCACACATTTTCCATTAATTTGATATGAATAATGCATTTTTTCCCTAGTTTGTGGCTCAAATATGGGCATAGTTAAAAACTTAAAATTATCACTTACTTGTCTCACTTTAAAACAAAACTCTTTAATTCTCGCACTCATTTTTAACCACACATTCACATAACAAAATATTTTACACGTAAACCTACAATTATTTTCTATTTTTTAACTACACATTTTTCAAAAAAATTACTATTCAAAGCATCTTTCTTCAAAATAATGGCCATCAAATAGAGGCTTAATTGTTAATTTTGACTTAGGTTCCTATCAAACGGGGTAATATGTTTGTGCATTTTATTATCTACCATTCAAGGCAATCAACTTCCAAAACTGCGGGCAGTTTGTTTCAAGCTCGTCTCTACTACAAGAATTACAATGCATAGTATAGTTGTAATCCACATTGCCAATCATAACATCATTCAATAAACATTAGCAGCAAGCCAGTCAAACAAATACACAATATGCTCGTTGAGAAAGTATATCTATCAAATGGAGGACATCAACATGGAGCTCATCGGCTAAAATAGTATCTCCACTATCGCATACATAAAAATTTAGCATTGTACTATACCCGAACTAGAGTTGCATAAATGCAAATAACAGGCATAAGTCTAAACTGGAAATGAAAAACTGGAATTCTTCTGATAATGCCTGTTCTGCATTAGCTAGACCCTTTGGAAGTCAGAAAGTTCAACGCGTCTCCCAATCCTTCAGTTTCTTGCTTCCTTTAGGTTTCGCTATGGGTGCACTCATTCCAGCCATTTTTGCATTGTACTTGGCCCGAAGAGCATCGTTGTAGGTCCATCTGCATAACAAGAAATCAGTAATTTGCAAATCATCGATATAATGTTCATCCATTCAAATTTGGATTGCATAACCGATATCATGAATGTGATGTTACAGCCTAATCACAATAGTCTCTGCACCTTAAGGGCTCCACTTAAACTGACAAAGGTACTTAAGAAAATTCAGACCGTGATAGCAACAGTCAATCACAAGAGTCTTCCAGCAACAACAGTCTGGCTTAGCCTATGTTTGGATCATGTTTATAAAAACTCAAGATAATTTTAATCCCACATTTCGAATGACCGACAAATACTATCCACTTATCCACCATTATTTATATTTATTTATAATTTGAACTAAACACTTCCCACTGACAAAGGTACTCATAAAAGAAAAAGTTTGTAGTAATTTGCTAGATGATGCATTGTTTAAACATTCATAACATGTCTGATACACAAGAAAAGCTACTATAGTTTTGTTCATTATATCGTCCATCTTATCCAATAGTGTACACCAAAGATATAGTGAAAAACAAACATGAGTTCAGTATCTCTAGTAGTGTCAATCTGCATTCTCAATGTAACTCAGTTTCAATCAGTACAGGTGAAGCTAAAAATCAACACATCTACAATAACCAAAATGCTTAGGATGCGCAAAATGTCCCATTCCAGTTCAAACTTCACATCATAGAACCAAATGCCCGTTTTGCAAATGTCCAATTAATGAAGTGGTCATTGAACAAGACATAACATTTGTAGTTTTTATTTCAGAATTAAAAAAGTCAAGTGTAAATTTACAGAGTTGCTCACCTGATCTCTCGCTCTGTGTAACTAAACACCCAAAATAAGTAACAAATATTTAACAATAACTAGGCACACACTATTTTACGAAACTTGAGTTAATGAAAACAATAAGCCAGTGTCAGGCCACTACGCATTTCAAAAGTTCACTTTGTGAAAAATGAGTAATGCTATTAGTGCTGTCAATCTAGATGGTACTAACGCGACATTAAATGAGAAGTACAATAAAATAAGTAACGTAATTCTATCTTTCATTAAGTAGTGCCACCTAGACGGGTGTTGTAGCACCAATGGTGCTAGATAGCTTTATTCGTGAAAAATACATAAATAGGAAATGAATCCTCAATACTACTTCCGACTTCTAGTGTTCTGCAATCATATTTAATTCAGTGTAGGATAACATTAAACTACGTCTTATTGATCCAAATTGTACCCTGGACTACTTCTATTGAGTATGTCATTTAGCCTGTTTCATCAATACAATACATAATGTCTCTTTATCAAGTGATATAGTATTATATGGCCTGCAAAAAATTAATCTTGAAGCATCTCTTTCATATTCGTGTCATATGCTTTAAGTTCCTTAGCTTAAAGTTTTTCATTGTTGCATTCATTTCCTTTACGGACAAATTCACTTCAATTTTTTTTTTTCTCTAAGTTAGCATAAAGGGAAGACCATGATGAAAAAATTATTAGATAGACAAAAACGTTTCTACCATTGTATTACTTAGAAAAGTAGAATGCAGTATGTTATACATTAGAATTGCTCTTATTTAATGTTTAATAACTTTCTTAGGTGTTCAAATTGGTGATTTCAGAAACAGTTTGTGTATAAAGGATACAAAACAAACTTAGAACACAGCCGCATTTACCACTGTGAGCATGCTATATTTCAACTATGTATTTAAGAAGATTCCTAAACCAAACGAGATGCTGAAGTAAGAAGCACTTACGGGTTATTCCAATCAGTTGTGTCCTCATTGACAAGATGAGTCCATTTTGTTCTTCCACTACGACCAAAGTGCTTAACCTGCATGACCTTGGGCAATATGGTCTTGTCCATCTTATCCTCTCCGGTTGGATCAGAGAAATCACGTGTGTAAATATTATCTGCTTTGGCAGTTCCAGCATGATCATCAGGATTTGTCTGGAAGAAAGCACCCTTATGGTAGTATTTCTGCATGAACCTCCACTTTTGCTTGGATTGTCCAGTAGGCTTGGGATTCTTCCTCTCCCACTCCCTCCTCTCTTCCTCTGTCATGTTTCTCACCCTCTCAATCTCCTCCTTCTCCTTCAACATAGACTCTCTGTCATCTCTATCCCTCTTAATCCTTGCAATCTCTCTAGCCTTCCAAGCCTCGTATTCCTCCGCCTCATTCACATCATCATCGGTATCCACGTCAGCAATATTTGCCTCCGACTCCATATTCCTCTGAATTTCCTGGTCCTCCCGAATTTTTTCAACCACAATTTGCTTAGTCTCCACTCTCCTCTCTTCCATCCTCCTTTTCACAGCTTCCTCGAGTGCCCTCTCTTCTGCCTCGAGCCTCTCACGTTCAGCAATTGTATCTCTCTCAGATTTTGGAACAAAAACTGGTTTCACCATCGCAATGCCTGTTGTTTCTTCTTCAGAATCAGTCTCGTACTCAGACTCCTCCTCCTCCTCCTCTTCCTCAACTTCCTCCTCTTCTTCTTCTGGCATTAGTGCTGCCTCCTCTTGTTGCCTTTGCAACAATTTCTCCCTAATCCTTCTTCTTCGCTCCTCCAAAGCATCCTCATCCTCATCCTCCAAATCTAATCCTTCTTCCCTCCTCCTTTCCTCCTCTATGGTCGAAACAATCTCTGCCTGCCTAATGCGTCTATGATCTTCCCTCACCTCCTCACGATTATCAATCCTACTCTCAGCCAATCGACGCAATCTAGGATCATCCTTTCGCATAAAATCAGTCTCCTCAAAAATTGGGAATGCTTTCTCGAGCTCAGCCACCCTTGCCATCCTAATGTCCCCATCTTCATCATTATCATCTGCCCACTCTGGTGCTTTTCCCGGCCAGTACCTCTTCACTTTTGTCTGGCCAATTTTACCCTTAAGCTTATCCCTAATCGCAATTATTGTATCACTAACCCCTGCTGTCACAGACATGGCTACAAGAATACAGAACCACCTCTACCCAAAATGCTTCTCAAATAACAAATCTTTGGCAGCTAGAAAATTGAAACAGGGTCAGCATCAAACAGTAAAAAATAAAATAAAAAGGTATGAATATAATAGGACAGACGAAGTTAAAACGAATCTGAAATAAAAAAAAATAATAATAATAATAATTAAGGACGCAAAGATAAAACCTAGAGGGGGGAAAACACAAATAGATTATATATAAATTGTGTGTGTATGTTCAAATCAAAAATTATATATTGAGATTACCGAACTTCTGGCTGTGAAATTATTGTTAAATATAAAACAGGGCCTGCATCAAGCAGTAAAAGGTATGAATTTAATAGGGTAGACGAAAAAATTAAAACGAATCTGAAATAAATTTTTAAAAAAATTGAGGATGCAAAGATAAAACCTAGAAAAAAAAATAGATTACATAAAAATTGGGTATGTATGTACAAATGAAGAATGATATATTGACATTACCGAGTTTCTGGCTGTGAATCCAAAAGATCGATTCGCGACCTAGTACCTTCGCAATGGGATGTGAATCTTGTACCCAGCAACGGGTTTTATACGATAGCTTTGTGTTTTGATGAAATTATTGTTAAATTTGCAGAGTTCCGTCCTTACCTTTAATTCTGTTTGCACAAACAGTCCTTATTTTCTCGTTAAGTGCTTGTTTGAAATAGTTTAAAATCCAGTTTGACAATAATTATTTTCGAACTCTTTTTTATGTACTCATTTTTACACATAGTCACATAATATTCTATACATAAATCAAAAAAAAATTTACTTATTTTTTAACCACATATTTTCTCAAAAACTGTTCCCTTACCTCTAAATTTGACAAATAATCGTGACATTTAATTTAAATTAATTCAACACTCAATATGTATTTCATTAAGATCATGAGAAAAATTTATTATAGCGTTGGGTTAACATAAATTGAATGTCATGATTATTTATCAATTAAGTGTGTCCAATTTACAAGTAGAAGGAACGATCCCTCTCCTAAATATCACTATTTAAAATATTTTCAAAAAAAATTTGCCATTAAATAAAAGCTAAATTTATAATAAAACCAACAATTCTCACACAATGTGTAAATAGACAATAATTATGAATTTTATAAAATGTCGTGATACAAAGTATCTTATTGACGTCATATCGTGTATGCTTAAACATTACTGACATGATATAGAAGTCAAGATCAAGTTTATTGTGAATACCATGTCAACCAATACCTTTTAATGTGTTAAGGATTGCTCGACTGATACAACACAATGTCAACATTTGGAACCTGTTTGGAAGTGATTTTGAGAATTGATTTTTTGACCGTTAGGAGAAAAGTGGGATCCGCCTGTGAGAAAAGAAGTCAAATATGACGACTGAAATAGTGAAATAAGGTCAAAAAAATAATTTTTTGGATGAAAAAATTGAGCCCAAACAGGCCCTTGGTAAGTAGTGGTCGATTCAATGCTACTTAATAAACTTTCAATTTATATATTTTTTCTTTCCATAGTTTTCTCTTTTCATTTCAGAACAAGATTCTCTTTTTTTACGAAAAATGATGCATCTCTTGTTTAGTTTTAGACAAAACTAATTGATTTTTAATTCCGTACATCGTATAAAAAATTGGATGAAATGAATTTGATGATAATCAATAAAAGAAAAATGAGAATCACATAAACATCGAACATTTGTGAGAACACGTAAACATCACACACATTAAAAGACATCATGTAAATAGCCGTTATTCTTCACTATTCTACCACATTAGGACGTTACAATAACAATAGTAAATAGTATAAGATCTTGATTCGCGCATAAGAAGAATTCACGGTGGAGTGGTCATAGCACGTTGAACTCCAATAATAGTCGACACTTTTGGAGTAACACAAGGGAAAACACATACAAAGTTAAATGCCAAGACCAACAAAGTCTATTACAAAAATGTGCATATTGAGATCCTTCCCCCAAATGAATAGAACATTGCGAATCTAGAAATCCGATTTGGGAAAGTGAGTTGTACGACAACTAGACGTAATAATTCAATAAAGAAATAAGACTTCTTGTTTCGTTTGGATGATCATTTTGACCAATCTAGAGAAGCTCAAAATTAGGAATGTTGGGGATCCTAGGAGTTCAATCAACCAAAACATCAAACAATAGAAGAAATTCTAAGGCAAAACAATGAAAAAATGGATGGAAAAATACAACCTGTCTTTGGCCGAATCTGGACAGATTTTGCTTCTTCCTTGCAGCAGCTTCTTCTCCTCCTTATGGCTGATTTTTCAGGCTCAAGAACAGCCCTCCATGACTTGCAAATCACCTTCCAAGAGAGAGGGGAAAAATCCGGCAAAGAACCACCACATTCAAGCTAAAAACCGAAAGTCCCAGTGCAAGGAGAAGGAGTTGGCTTCTAAAGAGAAGAAGAAGGAAAAAACCCATGCCTCTGCCAAAAAACGTGGGAAGTCCTTATTGTGTTAACATCAATACCATCAAGTCACAACATCTCCCCCAAGATTAAATCTCGACCGTCGATCTTCATCCAATGGTCTACAAAAAACTAAATAGATGGTGTTAAGAGAACCATATTCTCACATTCTTCACCTTGGTTCTCATAACACTCTCTCTTGGTTGCGAATTTGCACATGGAAGAACTGTTCATCATCATCGCCCACTCCCGGCAAGAAAAAATTAACCAGTGTCAATATGTAATAAAGATAAGCACAATTTAAATTTACCTGCAGGTAGAATTTTTGTTCCCATATCAGAGGAATTTCTATCAGTGTGAATTTTAACAAGATTAACTTCACCTTGAGACAGTTTCTCACGAATAAAATGATACTTTACCTCAATATGTTTAGTTCTTTCATGGTAAACAGGATTTTTACAAAGCAATAAAACACTTTGACTATCAGTAAACATAACAGGTGTATCATGCATGAAGTTCAATTCCTTTAAAATTCTTTTTAACCAAGTACATTCTTTAACCGCCTTAGTTATGGGAACATACTCTGCCTCAGTACTTGACAAAGTAACTAAAGATTGCAGCTGTGACTTCTATGTTATACAATTGTCACCTAGTGTAAAAAAGTACGCTGTGGTAGACTTTCTGCTATCCTTGTCACCAGCAAAATCAGAGTCTACATACCCCTTTAGAGCAAGTTTTTCAGATCTCTTTTCATACACTAGACCCAGATTTAATGTACCAACAATATACCTTAACAACCATTTCAAACCTGCGCAATGGGGCTTTCCTAGGTTTGACATAAATATGCTCAAAAAACTTATAGCATATGCTAAGTCAGGCCTGGATGTTATCATAGAGAACATAACGGAACCTATAGCATTAGCATAGGGTATGTTCCTCATTTCTCTAAATTCCTCCTCAGTCTTAGGAGATTGTGCACTGGAAAGATTCATGTGAGCTGCTAAGGGAACGTTCACAGATTTTGATCCATTCATACCAAATTTAGTTATGACTTTGTTTAGATAGGCTTCTTGGGAAATGACTAGTCTATCTTCAGCCCTATCTCTCTTTATAACCATCCCCAAAATCTTCTTAGCACTCCCCAAATCTTTCATATCAAATTCTGATTTTAAAAGGTTCTTCATCTTAGTGATTTCAGTCTTACTTGAACTTGCTAGAAGCATGTCATCTACATACAGCAACAAGTAGACCTCACAGCCCTCCTTACTATCATTATAGTACAGGCATGCATCATATTCACTCCTTTTAAAACCTATCTTCAGTACATAGGTATCGAACCTTATGTACCACTGTCTAGGACTTTGTTTAAGCCCATATAGAGATTTTCTAATTTGCGCACACAGTTTGTTTTACCTTTCACCTCAAAACCTTGAGGTTGGCTCATGTAAATATCCTCTTCCAATTCCCCATGTAGAAAAGTAGTCTTGACATCTAGTTGTTCCAGTTCCCAGTTGTACTGAACAACCAATGCAAGAACCAGTCTGATTGTTCTGTACTTTATCACAGGAGAGAATATCTCATTGTAATCAACCCCCTCCTTTTGAGTGAACCCTTTCGCCACTAATCTGGCCTTATACCTAGGAGGATCACTAGGATTATTTCCTTCTTTCAATTTGTAAATCCACTTACATTGAACTATCCTATGATCCTTAGGTTTGTTAACTAACTTCCAAGTTTTATTCTCCATTAGAGATTCCATTTCTTCCCGCATAGCTTTTAGCCAATTTTCAGAACATTTTCCATTAACAGCTTCTTCATAACTAGCAGGTTCTATCTGTTCAAGGGCTTCACCTGAAACCAAGGCAAAATCAGTCAAGTTTAGGGATTCATATCTAGGATTTGGCCTGATTTGCCTCCTCCCCCGATCCCTAGTAAGCTGATAATCTTGATTAGGTGGCTGATCATTAAAATGTTCAACTTCAACTGGTTCAATGTTATCTTGAAGTTCAGTCACCTCTTCAGGTTCAGGTTCAGGTTCAATTTCAATTTCAATTTCATTTTCATTTTCATGATGTATAGGGTCATTTTCGTCATTCCCAGGTGTAGGCGAATTTAGCCTAGTCAGCTTCACCTCAGTCTGAATACTCTTCTCAGTTTCAGATTTGTTAGTTTCTTCGATTTTCTGTTTTAGACATGGCATCTCAGATTCATTAAAGACTACATTCCTGCTGTTAATAATCTTAATGCCTTGGACCCCTAAAACCCATAACCTATAGCCCTTCACACCCTCGGGATACCCTAACATCACACACTTGACAGCCCTCGGCTCAAGTTTCCCTTCAGATTGGTGTGCATATGCAGCACATCCAAACACCCTCAAGTGTTCTAGTTTTGGAGGCTCTCCCGTCCACAACTCCTGTGGAACCTTAAACCCTATACTGTTGGACGGAGACCTATTAATCAGATAAGCTGTAGTACTTGCAGCTTCAGCCCAAAAACCTTTCGCAAGGCCAGAGCTAATCAACATACACCTAACTTTGTTCATTATGGTCCTGTTCATTCTTTCAGCGACCCCATTTTGTTCAGGTGTGTATTTAACAGTTCTGTGTCTTGTTATACCTTTCTGCTTACAGAAGTTGTCAAATTCGCTATTGCAGAATTCAAGCCCATTATCAGTTCTTAACGTTTTAAGTTTCTTGTCTAACTGATTCTCAATAGACTTTAACCAAATCCTGAATTTCCCAAAAGTTTCCGACTTAGCTTTCAAATGATAAATCCAAACTTTTATTGAGTAATCATCCACTAAGGACAAGAAGTACTTGCTCCCACCAAATGTGGAGTTCTTCTCCGGGCCCCATAGATCAGCATGGACATAGTCCAATGGTCTGCTGGTCCTATGAGAGCTAGCTTCAAAGCTCACCTTATGAGACTTACCCAAAACACAAGTTTCATAGAATTTCATAGTTTCAATGTCATCTTTTCCAAGTAATTTCTGATTACTTAAAGATTTTAGCCCTTTAAACCCAATGTGACCCATTCTGTTATGCCAAAGTTCAGTTTTGTCTTTACTTACAATAAGAAGGCTAGAATCAAATGGTATTTCAGTTCTACCCTCAAGAAAGTACAGCCCATTCCTCTTAGGCCCTTTCA